TATATATGAAATGAAAGATTTAATATACCGAATTTCCAACACCTCATTATAAGTCCATCCATCCATTTTCATTAAATAATTCATTAGAAATGTAATGTCTAAAATATTTGTACACATTTTAGCCTGCATAAAATGAAAACAGTTCAAGTAGGTAGCTGTGTCAGCATGCATAGGCTGCAAAGGAAGAAGTTAAAGGTTTGTTCAATGCTGAGAAGAGAAGAAAGGAAACACAACATTTTGGCTGTGGAGCCTTCTTCGGGTGTGAGAAAGACAGGGAAGTCAGCAGAGATTATATAGCATGGGAGAACAAAAACTGGGAGTGTGGAGGAGACAGGAGTAGGGGGGAGACAGAGTGGGCACTCAGAAGGTGCAAAATCGAGAAAGTTGAAGAGAGGTGTGAAGACGAAACCTGCAAATGAATAGAGAGGATTAGAAGAAAACGAGTCTGTCGTTGAGAGATGGGGGAAAGTGTGAGGATAATTTTGGTCTTAGATGTCTTTTTGCTATAGCAGTTAAGAAAATATTCTTTGTGAACGCAGATGAAGATCAGAGTGTGATCATGGCCATTGGAAGTAAAATGAGAACCTATAGGCTTGGAGAAATCTTTGATTTTCACAGCCCTAACATGTTCTCTGAAGTGTCCCCGAGTCTCCTTCCTGTTTCCCCAATGGAGATATCTGGGCATTTTTTGCAAGAGATGTGGTCAATAAGGTTGCTCAAGGTACAAGATGCCATCTGAGTGATCTGGAATTGTCCTGAGGGGTCTTTAATGAGCGTGGTGTTAGATATGTATTTGCAGATGATGTAGTGAGTTCTGTTACAGGGGAAAGTGCCTGGTGTGGATGATTGCAGAGGGCATTCAAGGGAGCTGATCCTAAGGTGTCTGTTGATGCCCATCCACTTTGTTTTCTTAGTGTTGACCTGGAATCCAATTTTCTCTGTGGTAGTGTTTAAACGGTTAGTCTTTAGTTTTGTTTGTTAAAACGTACATGATAGTAAACAGAGGTTATCAGCATGTGCAAGGTTGTGAGTGAAATCTGCCCCCTTCATCTAGTCCCCACAGTTGCCACTGCCATTGCTCATCCTCCTGAGCTTTCCCTGAGCTCAGCGGATGGCTTGTAAATCTGCAAGTGGTTGGTCTTGTCACACAGACCTCTGTTTGTTCCTATCTTAAACACACCAATCTGCTAGCATCTCTCCCTGCACTCAAATTAATTTTTACTGCTGCACCTTTTCTCCTTTTCTCCAAAAGATACACTTTTCACATGTCATGGGAAACAACCTGCTCACCAGAGTTCTCATGTCACCCATCCTGATGTGCCTCTCCACAGAGATCCAGCAAAATCAAAGCAAAATCAGGTGTGGGTATCTAGTTCACAGTTGGTACTGTCCCCTGTGCACACAGCGCATTTACCGCTTTCTTGCAGGTATACCTTATCATTATCAACTGTCCTGCAGTGACTCCAATTGAGATAACATCTCATCTGTATTTTTCAATCCGTATAGTTGCTTTTGTGGAGACTTTTTTTGGAGCCAGACTTCACATTACTCAAAACAATATTCTTCAAGCTAACCATCCCAAGCTCTCCACTATCACTGCTCAGCCCAGAAATGTTTCAGACCTTTCAGACCCATTAAGCCTTTCTTACCTCTTTTTAATTTGCTCTTCAATATGTATTCTCTTTCATATTCTATTTGAACTTCATAACCTTAGAATTCTGCTTTGGCTTTATGGGGTCACATTTGCTTATTCTCAGAGTTTTCTAGCCAGGCAAATTAAACCAATAAAATTAGCTAATTCCAATTACTCCTTTACTCTGCCTCAGTCAGGGTTTGTTCGAATTACTGAAACATGGTGGAGTATTGGCTTGTTTTTATTCTTGAAGTACTGTCACCTTTTTGTGTTTGCCAGTATTTTGTAAGGATTAAAGACTTCTGCAAAACATGAAGAAATGTGCCACTCTTATACATCATGTACAATAAACACTTTTAACTTATACATGAATTCATATAAAACGCTAGTCTACTGTATTTCCCCATTTTTGTATGACTTAAAAGACTCAACAAAATTGACAAAAGTGTTTAAGAAAAAAAGGTGAAAGGAATCTTCTAGTCGTCGTCCAAACACTCAGATACCCTCGAGACAACGATGTAGACTTATGTAAAGTCTTATGTAGACTTATGTAAAGGGCACTGTTGCAAGACATACAGTATATATTTTGCTTTTCTTTTAAACTAAACAGAAAAGGTTGACATCTGTAATTTAGAGAATGCAACATATGGCAAATCCACTTTATTGTAAACCAGATCAGCACCATGCACAGATATTATAATTCAACCATGTTTTTATTTCTCACAGACAGCTTCACCATAAGATTGGTAATTGTTTCTTTGAAGGAAGATGGTCTCCCTGAAGACAAGTGAACAAGTGGCTCATCACAGCACACACAGATGGTTGGGTTTATATCATCTGCTGAAGAGAATATATAAAAGGAAGTCTGGCCCCTTCAGAGGCCTAAGGGTTAGATTGGCACAAGTAGCCTATTGTCATGGCGGCTGACTACCATTGCTCATTGTAGGACAGAGAAAGGAGAGAAGTGTGCCTTGGGCCACAAACAGCCTCAGTGTGACATATTGAGCACCCCCATGGATACACTCAAACACAAGGCACAGAGAATACTGTAGGTCTCTGGATCTCACTTAGTCTCAGCAGTATCATCTTGATGTACCTTTGTGCCTTTGTTTTTAAACTGTGGTTGTTACAGCAATAGCATTATGGATAGTAACCTGTTTGGATACTGATTCTAACTTCTTGCTTTCACATTCTTTGAGCCTTGTTTTGAGAAAGGATTGAATAAAAACATATTGAAGACAAGGAGTGAGTATTTTCTCATATTCTTCTAATGTCTGTTTTGTCTTAAGGTTTTAATTAGAACCAATATACTGTATTGTTAAAGCTATTTACTTCAGACAAACCGAATTCTCTTGAAATGGAGTGCTAATGTTTAATTAGACAATGCAATAGTTTTTTGTTTAAATAAATTTAACTTTTATTAACTTGAAATTTGATAAATCACTGTTGTTTTTACGGTTACAACATATTTAATATGTACATGTTACAGTATATACAGTATAATACAGACACAATGTCTCTTAATTTTACAACTACTTAACATACTGAATTAAAACAAAAAGTTTTCAGCTAAAAAAGCATAATGGTTAAAAATGGATTATTACTTTTTAAAAGAAAATATTTACATTTATTTATACTGTAATTATAATATTTAAAATGACACCTGAAGAGGGTTCCACAGATGTGGCATGGAAAAAAACCTTTACTTGGTCCTTATTTACATTTATGACAGCTAAGGTTTACTCTTAGTACAAGTTCAAATATACAGGAATAGCAGAAGTCAATAGAACCCCATTCGGCAGTTTCAAATTTATGGTTGTAGGCAGAATAGCACTGCTAAAGTATTTCTTGTTTTGGACTCCAACTTTGGACTATCATAATTCTACTTGTGATTCTACTTGTGACTTTAAAAACTAATTGAACAACAAATATTAAACTAATTAAACAACAAATATGAAACTTGGTCCCATGCCTGGTTTCAATATGGATTTTTTAAAATATAAGATTCATAACTCTTTCCTTTTAACATAATTAATAAATCACTTTTTTAATTGATCTAACTTAAGAATAGGTAGCTTGTTGCAGCGTTTTCTGGTCCTATTCTAGCTTTTAACTGCTTAATTTAACTTTTGGGATTATAAATCAAATCACCTGTTAATACTGAAGGTTGTTCTGATGTTTTGATAGAACACCAGAGTGGCCCATCCTTGTTCTATGTTTCTTGACAAGACTTCTTTCTAGGCTTGAAAATCAGGTGGAGCTGCTAAACATTAGCTTAAGTTTTGTAAATCAACAACAATTAGAAAACTGAATCTGTATTATACAATTTTATTTCTATTCAAGCTTAGGGTTCATTTATGTTAGCTGAATGTTTAAACTGGAATAAAAAGCAGATTCTGCGATTGTGCAAGGATAACTGAAGAAATCATTTTTTAAGCTTTACTGGTACTACATCGTGTAATTATATTAAACTTCTATGTCATCACTGGCACTCACCCTGTCCTTTGAGACATTCTTCCCCGTTGAGAAAACCTTCCATGTTACGATACTGAAATTATAAAAGAGGCAATTATTGGGCAAAGACATTGTTTGCTGTAATTGTCCCACTTTAAACTGAGCTACAGTAAGAAAGCAGATGAAAGCTGGGGAAGAACATGAGAACATAAAAAACGTGACAGTTGAAAGTCAGTCATTTGGACTGGCATCCCATCCAGGCTGTTCCCTGCCTTTCCTCCAGTGCTTGCCAGGATAGGCTCTGGCTCCCCTGTGACTCTTTTATTTTTACTGTTAAGTGTTTTGATAATAACAAAACCAACAAGAAACAACAATGTTAACTATGTTTGTATTATTAAATAGCTTTGAATTGTTTGAAATATATGAGGGGTATGAGTGTAAAGCTTCTTTCTCTGTAAACACTATGCAATTCTTTGCTTCATTTTGTATAATTTTCTCCTTATTGTGACATTTACTCAAAACAAAGGTGGATTTCTTCAAATTAGATCTATTTCCTCTTTGTACTGATTTATTCTCTGAAATATTGACAACCCCCTTAAACATGCATTGACCACTGGCAATTTAACACAAATATGTTAGCTCTCCAACACTACACAACGACTCCTAGAAAGTTTGGTTCTGGAAAGGTGCAATTGCCTGTGCAAAAAGCAAGTTATTGAAAACTAAAAAAATAATTTTAAACCTTGTAATATAGCAACAACTTAACTTGAACTGTGATATGAGTATACAGAACTGAGACATAGCAAAAGAGGAAGTTTAAAGTGAAAAAAACAACATCTCTGTGACTAAAGTTTCCTAATGCTTTGTTTCTCAGAATCATGGGTTTATAAACTGAGACATGCTACGCTCCTTATTTTTAGCTCATATAAATGGAATCAGAGACAGTAGAATATTGTCCAGCTTTGACGGACATCCATTCTTTATAGCTGTGTCTGATGGATTAAGTAAGGAAAGAAAAAATGAAAGCTGTTTCATTTCACTAGAACGCAAATCATGTCTTGTGCTGAGGAGGTGCTTTTTGTTAATTCAGTCCTGCACAGATCTTTGTTAAGATGACACACATTCCGCTCCACATGGATTAAAAGAGACTGAACAGAAACCAAGCCAAGTAAGTTGCTTCTACAGAATCTATTTTCCTTTTGGTATGTAATGCATTTGAGAATGCTAGGACATCACTGTAAACTATAACAGTGTAACTGTTACTGTAAGTGGTGTTAATTTGTACGTGTGGATTTGTTTGCTCTCAAATGTTTGAAGGGGAAGATTTGTCTTTGTTAAAAAAATCTCTTCATTATTCATGCAAGTCAGATCATTTGGTAATGGTTTAATTGATGAGTCCTTTATATTAGTATGTTTATTTAAGATTGGTCACTAAAGTACTAGGTGATGGATGAAAACATATCATTTGGTGCTATAGTAATTGATTCTCAAAATTAGCAAATTAAATCAAGGGTAAGGGTAGGACTAGAGACTAATAAATTACAATATATTCCTTATGGTTTCTGAATTTGTATTTACAGTAACAAGAAATATATCAGTAATGATTTTAAACAGTATGGATCTTCTTCTTATGTTATTTAAAATGGCTTTTTAAAAAGTGCATTGCAAAATGCTTCTGAATAAAATGACTGTGTTGTTGTCTGGTATTAAACAATAGCACTTCTGTTTTACCAATGGCCTTATAAGGAAAATACCGTACTTTCTATTTTGTTGCTATCTGGCATTTAAGGATGTCGGCTTTTATATTTTTGTGCATATTTACCCAGATGGTCAATTACATATTTGCTTATTTTAAACAATGCAGCACTTGTTCCTAAAACATAAATGTTTTCATCTACTGTAGCTGCTTTGCACCTGTGGCTCATAGTTTTAAAATCAGTTAAGTTGTTTTCATTCTTCTCTTGAAACCACAACTGTTCTTTGTTTTTGCTGTGCACGATCAGGTGTATTGCTTAAATTCAGCTAAGTCTATTTCTACAGGGGTAGCCTGATATTGTCCTGAAATTTGAATTTCAAATGCATGCATTTGTAAACTTCCCAGGACATCAGCTGTCTAAGATGTTGGCAATTAATGGCTTTAAAGAGATTTCACTGACAGTCTCGCCAATGTTTGCCACCATTAATGCCCAAAGTGGGCATAGACAGAAAGTTAATTAGCTTGGGCTATGGCTAGCTTGCTGCATTCTTCCACATGTCATGAATTTAACAACCTCAAGCATCTGGGTGATTTGTGGTAGAATACCATCTGGTTTTCCCCAGTGACATTTATTTAGTTTCTGGAATAAGAAACAATAATAATTTGAATCTTTCTTATTGACATCCCATCCTACCTTGTGCCCATTGCTTGCATTGTTAGCCTCCAGCACCTTCACGACTCTGTACTGGATAAAGCAGTTTAGAAATTGGATGGATGAATCTTCCTCTCACACTTGAGAGTTCCGGTCTTCCAAACTGAGACTAATGTTTCTAATATCTAAACAAGTGTCACAATAGTCACATTTTAGTCACAATAGTCACAATAGTCACATTTACTTTATACAACCAAACACCCTATGCATTATTGTTACCACTATGAACACCAACAGATACCTTACAAGACTATTGTGACGCATTTTCAGTGTTGGATTCCAGCATATTCATTGCTAAGACATTTCATTGCCAGCAACTACTGCTGCACGCCGTATTGTTGTGCATTTGATAAATAAACTTTGACTTGACTTGATATTATAGTAGATTGCCTGATTAAGAAAATAGCACCAGAATCAATAATAAATCTCATTTAGTTTAATTTATTTTCAACAATGATATTTTAGATACTGCAGTTATAACTTTATAATTATTTAGTTCTAGATTGTTTGCTACTGTACTGTATGTCCAGGTTTTCTAGCTTCAAAACCCAAAGACGTTTCCAGATATCACTGTATTGTATAGTGTAGATTAAACCGACCCAGGGACGCCAAATAAGTAACGTTGCCAGCCAAATAAGTAATCATAGTGGCTCTCTGAAGGCACCAGTTCTGTAGGGTTTGGGCATTTACTGAGACAATTATTAATTGTAGCAGTAAATCACAAAGTTGATTCTTTTGGTGGCTTTAGAATCCAACCATGCGCACACACAGGTACTAATACACGAGGATACATTTATTAATACATGGAATATGCATATAAACCTAACAGATCTTATCGAGAGGGTTATCAGAATACAAAAGGTATATATTCAATCAGTTACAAAGAGTTACACATATCAAGAGGACATACGTTCAGTATATCATTCATTAAGACCGTTTCATAAATGAACTTGGTTATAACTTCTACATTAGATACTCAAAACAAGTACATAACTCTTAGGAATTAAATTAATATCAACTGGTTTGGATAACAATTGAATTCTCGAGCTGTAATGCATTGAAGTTGAATACTCATCCAATCTTTGGGGATTCAGATCTCCTGCGGGCACAAAGAAACAGTTGCAGGCTGTTGCTGTCCAATCCGCGCTCTCTGGCTCCGTGCCAGGCTGTGCTGTGCGGCTTGCGACGGTGCGCTGCAGATGCTCACTGACCGGCTAGTTAGTGTTGGCTTTAACTAGCAAAGTTTGTGCACAGGAGAAAAGATGACTGTGGGTCCCAGCAAGTCAGGAAGAGGACTGGTTCGTTCCTGATGAAGAGCTAGTTCTGAATAGTGATTCAGCTGTCCACAGTTCCGACCTGTTCACGAGGCCTGCTGCTGGTTACTCTCTGGCAACCACCACTCTAGACTCTTAGAACAAAGGAAAGTTCTGGCACTCGGACACACTGGCCGTTCCATGGTTGTCCGGGCTGAGTCTCAGGATGGTCAGGAGGCGCGCTGCGAGAATGTCCTGCCCTTGGGAGCTTTCTGCTCCTGGGCCGTCCTGCCCTGGAATTCTCCTTTGAATTCCCTTTAGAACAGTCCACAGAATCCTCTCCAGAATCTTACTGAATCTTGTTGAAACTGAATCTGAATCTCTCTTTCTGAATCTGAAACTGAATCTCTCAGGCTCTCTGTGTTGCCTGTTTTTACCTGGAGGAACTTCAGCTCATTGATTGGCTGAAAGTTCCATGGGCATCAGAGTCCCACGTGGGTTACTCGGCCCTACCAGTCCCTGATTGGTTGATCAAGGTGAGATATGAGTCACTTACTCCTGACACTTAGTAATGCAGTCCAGATGTCCAACTGGCACTCCCTAGACAGATAGGCGCCAATGGATGACCATTGATCATGATAGCCAGGCTTAGCTAAGTGCATCCCCCTTTGGGAGCTGTCCTTATCAAAAGAAAACATCTTGCATGAATGGTTTCTCTGTGGCTGCACCACAGAGATGAACAGAGAAATGGGGCCTCATTTGGGAAGGCTCAGAACACTTAATTCGGCCTTATTATTAAGCCTCGCTGCTACAATAGATATCATTAAAGCAGTCTCACTTTTAAGAAGCCTAGGTTTGGCTGCCGTTGTTGTTGCTCAGGACAAAGTTTTAGAAGGGAATGTTATCTCAGTCAGTTGGTTGATTCATAGGATGACCACCATGAATTTTAGGAGGTACATCAGTCGAAAGAAGTTTGATAAAAGAAAATTAGAAATTAGAGAACATAAATGTACTACTCATGAATGGAATGCAAAACTTGAAATTGTAAGAACACTTAGTTAGTAGTTTATTAGTTTGTCCTTTTTATGTAATATTGTACTATTTACTTTAACATTGCATTATTTTACCTTCATGGGTTTTTCAGAAATCATTTCCATAAATGGCCGATAGGGGCCAGTGTGATGCTATTCCTGCAGCAAATCCCAGTCACTGCAGTCTGGCAAGAGTGTTCAGTCTCTCCCAGACTCTGCAGATATTTTCTACCGCACTGTGCAGGGATCTCCTTGCACATCCTGCGAATAATGATCTCAGACTACACTGCAGCCTTGTCATCGCATTCTCACAAAGCCTGTGCACATCACACCCTTTCCAGTGTGCTGAATTTTAATTTTGTCATGCTCAGAAGATGGCTCTTGTGCTGCACTTTCTATCTGCAAGTTATTTTTTTCTTCACAAATAGACCCCTTCAAATTCAGTCTACCTTTCTGGGATAAAAACAATTTAAAGATGAAGACATCCATAAACTTCAGACGTGTTGGATTCCAGCATATTCATATTTTCTACTTCTAAAAATAATGGTGTAATATATTTTAAAAACAAGTGATGGATGTGGTTTAAATGTACTGAATTATTAAAAATATAATGACTTAATTTCTCAGATTCAACTATGAACAGCCTTTCTGTGCTAAAGGGTCTTTATAAGGTTACCTGTTGGTTTGTTTACAAAGCTTTTCTGTCAAGACACAATTCTGTCATTTAAATTTGAACTGCATAGTGAAAGATACTTTATTTTCCCTGAAGGAAGAATAATAATATATTATTCACTTATGTGTGTTATAGTGTTTTCACATTTCTTACTGGGGTTATACCAATTTATTGCAATGATTTACTGTAATTTTTACATGCCTTCACTGTATTTGACTATGCTTGACCTTTAGCAAACCATGACTTACAATTGTGAAAATTTCTTAGAAATATTCATTATTACTGCATTTATCATGGTATTCCCATGCATGCATTAAAGCACAGGAAAGGTATGTTAACATCATGGGAACCAATATAAACATCCATCCATTTCTAACTGGTTTATTCAATCTAGGGATTTTTCCCAGAATCCACTTAACCTACCGCTGTATCTTTTGGGTTTGGGATACTATACTGTAGTGAGAACATATAACTTCCACATAGGTAGGCCATTGAACCCTGGGTCCCAGAACTAAAAGCCAGTATTGCTGGCTACTGCACCACCATGCCACCCCAGTGTAAACATATGGTTAACTCATTATGACAAAGATTCATAATGGAAAACTCCCAGCTGACAAAACAAGGCATACTCCTAGTGAGTAATCTCACTCTGAGCACTCTGGTCCTTATTTAATAAAGACGCCAATGTGTGTGGTCTATGTCATGTAGATCTTTATGTTGACACTACATAAGGTGTAATGTGTTTTGGTTATGCCCCACAGTGCCTGGAAAATAGGTTTTGACATCTTACGGTTGCCTCAGCA